CCCCTGCCGTGGTTGCCGCAGTCACGGCCGTGGCCTGCAGTCATGATCGCGGCCGCGTAATGGCCAGAGGGGGATGGGGTTGGGCGTGGGGTTTGCGGATTTGGGTTATGGAACCCCGACCCTACCACCTGGAGAAAAAAAAAGTAAAAAAGAAACGATTTTTGGGGGTTGATTGTTGGTGTGTGGAAAACAATTAAAAAAAAAAAAAAAAAAAAAAAGATTGATTGATTGATTTTGATTGATTTTGTATAACTGATTCACTGATTGATTAATTTTTTGATTGATGGATTGATCGATTGTCTGATCAATTGATTGATTGATTGATGGGGGAGGGGTCCTCCCCCCCCTCTCCCCCCCCTCCGGCATACGCACACGCACACGCACACGCACACACAAACACACACACACACACAAAGTTTTAGGTATGTTTGTTTTTCCTCTTTCTCCTATTTTTTCTGAGTACTTTTTGTGTCTCTAGCCGAGCACCCTCTAGCAGTGCCAAACAGTCTGTGGGTCCTCGTTTGGAGTGCCTACTGCACTTTTAGGGGGGCTGCTCGGTTCGGGATGTATGTGTTTCCTGTGGGTGATGACGGATGTGTCTCCCTGGCTCAGTGGATGGTGGGAACCAATAGTCTGCGGGGTTAACTCGTGATGTGAGTAGGTCATATGCCGCTTTGCTCCGTGTTGGATGTGTAGACCGTCTTGTGTGCGCTCTGCCGCTGCCTTGCTGCCTGTGCTGCCTGTGCTGCTTCAAGTTGCTTCGCAGGTCTTCCTCGCTGCTCTTCTGACTTGCCGCCCATCCGCGGGCCGTGCCTCCCATGTTTTTTGCTCGCGTGCCTTGTGGTGGTGTCTTGCGCTTCAGTGCACGGTCGCTGAGCTGCTTGTTTGTGTGCCTTGTCGGCTTTCGGTGTCCTTTGCTTGCATGTCTTGTAGTTTGGTTGCCTTGTTGGTGGTGCCTTGTGCTTCATTGCACGGTTGTCGAGCTGCTCGTCTGCTTGCCCTGTTGGCCTTCCGCATCCTTTACTTGCTTGCGTGCCTTGTAGTTTGGTTGCCTTGCTGATGTGGCCTTGCTCTTCACCGCATGGTTGCCGAGCTGCTCATCTGCTTGCCCTGTCGTTCCTTGCATTCGTCTTTGGTGATAAGCAGTTGGGTTGCATTTATTGCGTTGCCTGGTGCTCCGCAGGGTTGCGGCCCGCTGCTATGTCCCGCTTGGGGACAGTTTGCCTTCAATATGGGTCAAAGGGTTCATGACGCAAACCATCAAATACGGAGATTCTGGAGATTGTCGAGGGTTCAACCTCCTGATGAGTCGGCGCAACTCCGACGAAACAATCTATCATCATCAACTTTTATTTTTTTCGGTCTTCTGATTTCTTGGGACTTGTATTTTTTCCCATTTACCTGTTTCGTCATGTTGTTTGCCCTCCCGCCTCCCCCGTGCGCTTCAGCCTATGCCTTGATGTCCTTTTGCTTGCTTTGCTCTGATGTTTTTCTTGTTTGCCTGGTCTTGGCATCCTTTTGGGACTTGTTTGTTTTGCTTGTTTTTTTTGGTATGCCTACTAGTGTGCTTGTACGTTGTCTGCCCTCCCGCCTCCCCCATGCCGTCTATTTGACACTTTGGGAAGTTGATCATGGATAACCGTGTATGTACGGGGTAGCTCTAGAGAGTTAGTAGAGTGGCAACATACAATGTTAGTTTGGTTGCGGCAGGGCGGGGTGTACCATGGGTTCCATGGGGTGCATGGTGAGTACACCATGGGATATATTAAATACACACACACACACATACATGAGACTCACTCTAATTTCTTGACCATTGTTTCCAATCTTGATGCTCGGGAACGTGAGTTATATGGCGATAACCCGACTCTGCATCCCCCACATGATAGTAATTACACTGGACATCATGATGGGGGATTCAATGTCTCTGTTTTGGAGACCGCTTTGATAAGGCGACGACTTGATATGCAGCATGCCCCTTTGGGTGGCGACCCAGACCACTGTTCGCACGTTTGTGCTTATATTTTACATACTCCTGGCTACTACACCGCTCTTATTCGTGCCTTTGATTCTTGGGGATTATGGAATGGTGGTGCTATGATGCAAACTATTACTGCCATGTGTGATCTCGTGCGTAATTACCCTAGCCTACAACTATTCTAGGTCATTGACCCTATGGGTACCTCGTGTACTTTCATGCCCGCCTCTACGCCTATCTTTGTGCCTGGCTCCATACCTGTCTTTGTGCCTGTGTCTATCTCCTTCCAGGTTACTGACCCTATGGGTACCTCGTGTACTTCCGTCCCCGCCTCTACACCTGTCTCTGTGCCTGCCTCCGCACCTGTCTCCATGCCCGTTTCTTTGTCTGTCTCCGTGCCTACCTCCATGTTTCTCACCGTGCCTGCTTTAGTCTTCATTCCCCCACATGCTGCACTAACACCTTGTGACCTTCTTCTTTGTGAGATCACTAACACAGTTGCACATGGTTGTGGAAAGCATCGACTTTGTCGACATCACTACAACCGTATAATGTTTCTGGCCCGCTGTCGGCAGGGATGCTACCTGTATCCGGATTGTGAACATCCTCTACATCCATATGCAGTATGTCCCATCTGTGCCTACGGGCGCTATAGCAAATGTGCATTTAACTGTGATGGTGAACGCCTCACAATCGTCATGGCCTGCAACCGGCATGCCCTCTGTCGTGCATTCAGAGGTATGGTTGATGCTAGCCGCCCTGGGTCCTGCTGTGATGAAGTTGCTTACCTGAATGGTTTTCGTCCTATAGATCAGCGGGAGGGTTGCTACCATCACTCGCATCCTTATGATAGTTGTCTTATTTGTCGTGAGGGTCTTACTTAGACGTACCTTGCACTATGACAAAAATGTGCAGGTGCGCTGAAAAGAGTGTACAAGAATGTGCAAAGGTGGGAAACCCTTCACTAGAACTGCAAAACATTGAAGAATGCAGTAAAAGAAGAACATAAGTTTGTCTCATTTTACTTTGTTTTGTACCCTGCACCCTAACACCCTTAAAGAAAAAATATGAAGGGTGAAAATGAGAATAAAAAGTGAAGAAGGAAGTGCAGGTGCGCTGAAAAGCAAACGTGGTAGACTCTTCACCAAAACTGCAAAACCGTGAAAGAAAGAAGAATGCAGTAAAAGAAAGAAGATGTTTGTGCCACCTTTTTTAATTTTTGCTCCCTCTGCCTATCGATTTTCCTTTTTTGCTCTTGTCTTCCTTGTGTTTAACACCTCTTCCTTCACTCTGCCTCTTTCCCATAGCATGCAAGTGGGTTGTCATGGCATACGGGGATGGGGGCAGCTCGCGCTCAACTTCATCAACGTGGTGAGACTTGTACGTTAGAGGCACGGTGGAAGAGGAGTTAAGAAGACTGAGAAACTGAATGATCTCAATGTGTCCTTGTCTTTGATTTTTATCCTTTGTTCAGTGTTTTTTTTTTTTTGTAAAACACTGAAAGAAATAAGAATACAGTGAAACAAAGAAGAAGAGAACGCTATTTTGTGTCATTCTAGTTTGTCTGTCTCTTTGCATGTCTGTCCTTTCATTTTTCTTTTCTTCGCTCATCTTATTTCTTCTTTTACTTCATGTGCTTACACACACTCACACACATAAAACCGCATGCACAAAATGGACCTACACAGCCCGCAACCCCCCAAAAAAAGAACACCCCTTATTACCCTCAAACACCACAAAACGACACATACCCCACGGAACAGCAGATTGCCATAGCTCACCACTGCCCCACCTATCGACACCCCAAGCCAAAGACCCCCCCCATAGGAAAATAGTAAAATACAACGCATCAACAACCAGGCCCCCAGCTTCCTGTAAAAACAAAGCCTACAACTTACCGGACGGTGGACACGCTTCATAAAAACGCAACACCTCGGCCACAACAACAAAAAAAAAAAACAGAAAAAACAAATACTCCCCCTAAGAAAACCCATAATAAGGCCGGCAGACCCACCACCCCCAAATTCCCAGCCCCCAACAAAAACAGAAAAACACCCCCCGACCGACCGCAACTGTACAACTGTAACCTTACAAGAGCCCGTATAAAAAACAAAACTTTCAGCCCCCCCGAAAAAACCTCTTTTATATATATTAAAAAAAAGCTCCTTTTGTAAATTGCCACACGCAAAAACATGCAACCCTCAGCATCCTCACATAAAGACAAAAAAAACAGACAAAAAGAGCTCTACACACGGCCGTAACAACACACCCGGCTACCATTGCCCATATGAATCTGAACTCATAACAAAAGAAACCGCACAAACAACACCACTGGCCACCATAGCTACGGTCGCCCCATCCACTTGCCTCCCGCTCAAACCATCTGCCACCTCTGCAAGGAGCACCGTAAACTCTGCACCTCAACCTCATCTCTGACCATGGACCCCACACCAGGCAACACCTTGCCAACCCCCCACATCACACACCTACAGGATACACGCACCGACTGCACCCCGATCCCTTAACACATAGCCCCCACCACCACCCATGCTTACATGAAAAATGGGGCACCCTAGACCTGTTCCTTGGGTCCAAGGCGCCCCCTGAAAAATGTTTCTATGATTTTTGGGGCCGGTATCGGCCGTACAGGGCGGCCGGAGACCCCTTTTCTATTTGCATCCTGGGCAGGCTGTTGGAGGCAGAGCGCAGTTCCCCAGTGACAAAGGGAAGAAAGGGCGGATCTAGGCACTTCAGAGTGCTTTCTCGCCCACCCGTCGCCACCACACACACGCACACACACACACACACAGAGGGAGAGGGAGAGAGAATCCTCGTTACCGTTGTGGACTGGTGCGCACATGCAAAGAGAGAGAGAGAGAGAGAGAGAGAGAGAGAGAGAGAGAGAGAGAGAGAGAGAGAGAGAGAGAGAGAGAGAGAGAGAGAGAGATTGAACTC